CCCTAGTCATCATCTTATGCTATACATTATTAATACTTGGCATATTTGATTACTTTCTCCTTGAAACAGCTTCTCATTTGGCTTCTTGGAATTCTGCTTGATCCAAGTACGCCATTGTTCAGTCTTCTGGCCTTGCTTTGTCCATGGTAAAGTGAACTCCCTTAGTGAACTCATCCCATTCGCATGCTGACAATTCCCTGATTTGTATATCTAGCCCACAACTGTCTCCTGAACTCCAGATTCATATATCCAACTGCCAACTTGACATTCTCACTTGGATGGCTAATAAAATTCTCAAACCTAATATGTTCAAAACTGAATTTTTGATCTCACTCAAACCTGCATCACTCACAGTCTTCCTCATCTTATTAACTGACAACTCAAATCTTTCTATATACTCAGGCAAAAACCCTAAGTGTTATCCTTGGCTCCTCTCTTCTTTCACATCCCACATCTATTGTGACAGCATATCCAATTTGACAGTCATTTCAACTTCAACATTTATCTGGAATCAGTGAATTGTATTACCTTCAAAATTCTTGTCCTAGTCCAGTCTACCATCATCTCTGAAATGACAGCATTTCTGATACTGAAACAGCCTCCTACCTAGTCTCCCTGCTTTTGTCCTCTAGCCCCTCCATGTATTTGTTCTAAGATTGTAACCAGAGTGATCCTTTTAAAACAAGTCAGTTCGGGGGGTGCCTGGGTGGCTCAGTCAGTTAAGCGGCTGCCTTCAGCTCAGGTCATGATCCCTGGGTCCTGGGATCGAGCCCTGCATTGGACTCCCTGCTCAACAGGGAGCCTGGTTCTCCCTCTCCCTCTGCCTGCCACTTCCCCTGCTTGTGTGTGCTCTCTCTCTCGCACTCTCTCTCTGTCAAATAAATAAATTTTAAAAAATTAAAAAAAACTAGTCAGTTCATGTCTCTCTTTTCCCAAAACTGTAATGGCTTCCCAACTCAAGCTATAAAAAGCAAAATCCTTACAATGACCAACAGGGCTCTATACCAGCCCTGTCCAGTGGAAAAATAATGCAAGCTATCATGTAATTTTAGATTTTCTAGCAGCCATGCTATAAATGTAAAAAGAAAACATAAGATTAATCGTAATACATCTAGCTTAAACCAATAGTAATCAATATAAGGAATTATTAATTGAATTATTTTACTTTTTTATAGTAAGTCTTCAAAATCTGGTGTGTATTTTATACAATTTGGATGCCAGATTTTGATTGGAAATACTTGATTGGCATTTAGGTTTCATAAAATTTACAGTTGAACAAGTAGATTTACATATCCAAGTAATTCTGAACATTCTTCAAGGTTTTCTAATAACTGAATCCAGTATTGGTTTTTAAATTTAAAAAATTAAAGTTAAAAAAATTTAAAATTCAGTTTTTAGCCACATTTCAAATGCTCAATAGCCACATGAGGCAGTGGCTATCATATTAGACAATGTAGCTCTTTACCATCTGGCCCCTCTTCTCTGACCTTATCTTCTGTGGCTTTTTCCTTCACTCATTCTGTACCAACTATAATAATGGCCCCCTGTTCTTTGATCACAGCAGACACTTCCCATTTCAGAGCCTTTGCATTTGGTGTTCTCTTTGCCCAAAAAGCTTTGCCTCCAGGTGGCTACATGACTTCATCCTTCATCTTCTTCAGGTCTTTGCTCAAATGTCACCTTCTTAGAGAAGCTTTTCCTGACCAGTTTGTTTAATAGCTATACCATTTGCCTTCTGTCTCAAATTCTTACATTTCCAGGTTGCCTTTTGAAAGAAGGGAGACGAGGGCTGAGAGGGGAGAGGTGACCTGATCTACAAAGGAAGCAGTGAAATATAAGAATTGTTCCATACAGACAAATCAATGAATATGTTAGGAAGAAGCATAGAGTAAAATTGAATACGTGACTATATCACCTCAGCTCGCTGCTACCTAGGCAGCTCAGAGGATTGGTTTTTTTGTATGTGTGTATACATGACTTGACCCCCTTAGAGATTGTAAGCTCCTTAAATGCAAAGTTCTGCCATAATATCCTTTTGGATCTTCTTTGGCACCTAGCATAGAACTTTGACCAAAAGACAATCTGTATTCCAATTATGGGCCGCCTATTGATTAGCCTTTTGTGTTTTATATTCTTGGTGGCATCTACCCTCTCTTCTTTCTCAGTGCTAGCAACTGGTATATACTTGCTGATGGTATATGTGTGTTGGCTTCACATGTGCTATGGCTGTGATTGGGACACTGATTCTTCCTTGTCCAGTCTCGTGCACTCTTACTTGTTTTCCAAAACTAACTCCTCTAAGGAGTCTTCATCACTGATTCTCCTAGTTTATTAACTCCCTCTTCAGTGCTGCCTATATGTATGTATACTTCTGTTTTGTATTCTAGTAGGAAACATAAACATGTAAACATAATTACAATAGAAAATGAATTCTTGAGGACAGGAACCATGCCTTATTCATTTAAAAATCTTTAATGCTTTCCTCAGTGCCTTGCATATAGTAGGTTCTCAGTGCTTGTAAAATTGAATGAACCAGGTACAGAGCAGTAAAGAGAGTTGCTGTTAATGGGCAAAACTTATGTTGTTTAAGATACAGGTCTTAAACCCAAGTGTCTTTTTCTAAACCACATTGAGAGGCAAAAGATACAGAGCTGTGAGAGAGTATGTGAAGAGGAACAGTAAAATCCAAGATCAATCCCTAGATAGAAGGGAGGCTAAGGGTCTGAGGTACTCAGAAGAATTTACTATGTTGGAAAGCCAGGGAAGCACATGTATTCAAATGGAGTGATGAAATTCATCTGTTTGTATTATAGGAATACTGTTTTCAGTTTTACTCTGGATTTTGCTCTTGATATATTATTTCTTGATGTATTTGTACAGTTGTTTGCATCCCTACTTAAACTTTGACAATCTGGCATCAGGGTAAAGATCCATCCCTCATTTGTTAACTAAGAGATTGGGATAAATACTTTTTTATTTTTTATTTTTATTTTTATTTTTTAAGATTTATTTATTTATTTATTTGAGAGAGCGAGAATGAGAGAGAGAGAGAGAGTACATGAGAGTGGGGAGGGTTAGAAGGAGAAGCAGGCTCCTCGCCGAGCAGGGAGCCCGATGCGGGACTCGATCCAGGGACTCCAGGATCATGACCTGAGCTGAAGACAGTTGCTTAACCAACTGAGCCACCCAGGCGCCCCTGGGATAAATACTTTTTTAAATTATGAAACTTCTTTTTTTTTTTTTTTAAGATTTTATTTGAGAGAGAGAGAGCACGTACAAGCAGGTGGAGGGGCAGAGGGAGAGGGAGAAGCAGAGTCCCTGCTGTGCAGGGAGCCCAACACTGGCCTTGATCCCAGGATCCTGGGATCATGACCTGAGTCGAAGGCAGAAGCTCAACGGGCTGAGCCACCCAGGTGCCCTAGGGATTGGGACAAATACTTATTAAGAATCCTTCTAACTCTGTGGTTCTGTTATTTTGAGTAAACCAAATCCTATTATCAGGTACTTTAATGGAATCCTGGTGGGCACAAGTGTTTCTATCAGTTTTGCTTGTTTGTTGCCCCTGTTTGTTCTTTATAAATGGAGTGCATACTAGAAGTAGGTATTTGGGTTACCTATGAGGATATTTTGGTAGTAAGCTCATAATAGAAAAAAATATTTTGATTTTGAATTAATTCTATTATCAGAAAATTAGAGTTTATGCACTTTTTCTCCAGAGATACTTTTGGTGACTCAGGAGTTTAAGCTGGCACTGTGTCTTGTCAGTTAACTGTTTCTGATCAGGGGTTCTGGGTAAACTGGAACAGTATTTCTTCCTCTCGATGCTAATTCATTACGAATGGATGGCAGTACATGAGCATATTTCAGCAGGCATCAGAAAGAAACAGAAGGGATGAAAATTCTTCTCCGGTTCTTAAACATATGTTCTTTGTTTTAAAAAATGGGGCACCTGGCTGATTCAGTTGGTAGAGCATGCAACTTGACTTCAGGGTTGTGAGTTTGAGCCCCACCTTGGGTGTAGAGATTACTTACTAAAAGAAAATCTTAAAAAAAAAAAAAAGTAATGAAAATTAAATATAAAAAATATTACCCCTCCAAATAAGTATTATAAGAAATAACATAATAGAGGAAACTCCACAATACAAATAAAAGGAGGTGTCTCCCTTTGTTCTTTATGTTCTAACGCTCCCCTTCTATGTAGCCTCAGCCACTTCAGACTAGACCACTCTGTTGGACTTGATAAATGTCTTTTTTAAAAAGATTTATTTATTTGGTGGGGGAGAGGCAGAAGGAGGGGGAAAGGAGGAGTCTCAGGCAGACTCCCCACTGAGCACAGAGCGTGGCTCACTCTATCCCAGGACCCTAAGATCATGACCTGAGCTGAAATCAAGAGTCGGATGCTTAACTAATCCAGGCACCCCTAAATCTCTCTAATTCTTAATTGCTTTTCCCTCACAGAAAGCATGACAACTCATTTACTTTAGTTTTTATGTTTGCACATGTCTGCTTCCTATCAGTGTAGCTTCTCTGTGTCAGTCTGAAAGTCTTCCTCTTGTATATGGACTATCCCTCTTGGACTTTTTATGAAGTGCTTCCCCTTTTTTCCTTGCTGAGAGCCAGATTTTCTCTCCCTTTAGTGGGTACTAAACAGAAGCAACATTCCTATCTGTTGTTCATATGAAGGTGACATCCAACAGTTGATTAAGAAACTTACCTTGCTTCTTAACACTTATGCCCAGTTCTTCTGTTGGCAAAGCTTGCAGGGCTCACCACAAAGATCCCACTATCTAGTTATGGTTTTAGGGAGAACAAGGTGTTTTCTTTCTTCCCCATCTTGTCACATACTTTTCTCAGAAGGATTTAATATATTAAGTATTTTATAGACATTCTAATGCATCTGCCTTAAATTAGATGAAATAGCTATTTGATGTTGTGGGTGATGCTGTGAATTTGTGATTTGCATGGCTTCAGATGTCATAATTTTTCCCCCCACTTTCTAGGAAGTAACAGCTAGCAGTCGCCACTATGTTGACAGGCTATTTGACCCTGATCCCCAGAAAGTTCTACAAGGTGTCATGTAAGTAGTATGTATTTAAGAGTCTATCAAAAAGTCTTTTTTTGTTTTGGTTTTTTTTTTTAGTCTTGTTTGGTTTTGTGTTTAAATTTGCCAAATATTGTAATTCTGAAAATGCAGGGTTAAAACTTTTTTCTTATGTTTTAGAAAGATCCCTGACATTCATGACTTTACTATTGTACTGTAAAGAGTTGTCTGATAGTTGTTCACTGACATGGTTAACTTATTTTTTTGTAGAATACTTGTTTTACCATTTTAAAACATGTTTTTGGAGAATGCTTTTGTGACTTCTTTATCCAACAAAAGCAAGGGAATAAAACTGATGATCTTTTATAATTGGAAAGAGTGGGAGAATATATCAGTAGGGTTTTTTTGTTTTATTTTGTTTTTGGTTAACTCACTGGCTATAAAGCTTGAATCTCCTACTGATGTTTTAAATCTCAGAGTTCAGAAAGCAGTCATTGGAAATCTAAATTCTTGATAATCTGAATGCCCATTTTTTTCCTCCAAAATTCCCTAGTGTTTAATGAGAGGAAACATTTTTAAGCAACATACCTGAGGTGTTAACATTTTTAAAAACTTAAGTCAGATAAGTGTGATAAGATTGCAAGTGATTGAAAGATGAAATCTCTATCCTAAGAGCAGATTACTATGCTCTTGACACATGACTTCTAGGGGAGAAGGTCTAGCCTAAGACTCCTCTTAGGGTTGGCAAACACGGAGTACCCACAGGCTTGAACTGTGTCCAGGGGAAGGAGGAAACAAAAAAGGGTCAGGATGTTTGGTATAGCAGTGAGGGCACACATGAGTCCCAGTATTATTTTCTTACCCTGTTAGTGTCATCAGCCAAATAGTACTTTTCAGTTTAACTTTTGCTCAGTCATGGCAAGGCGAGGATGCTTAGTTTATAGAAGTATCTACAGATTGTAATTCTTATTCAAACCATTCCCCCCCATCTTCCCCCCAAAAAAGCGCATTGTATAAGGCATGTCTTGGGGATGTGGATTTGTAGGGTGGAGGCAAGATAAAAGTGAGTAAGGATGCTTGACTATTCAAATTGAGCTGGAAAAGAAGGTGAGGAGCTGGATGTAGACCCACCTGGCATACTTGACACCTTACTTCACATTTTCTCAGTTTACAGAAACAGGAGATTACAATTCTTATTTTCTCATTATGTTGACTTTGCCTTTGTCCCCTTCACTAGGAGACTTTGTAATGATTTAATCAGCCCCTTTGTAGACTAGTTTGATTATTACCAGAAAAAGTGTTATTAAATCCATCTGTTAAATAAATTAACACTCCTCCTTAGGCAGACACTCCCCACACACAGCCAGACAGTTTTGTATATTAGTAATCCTCAATATCATTTAGGATTGTTCAATAAATAGTTTAGTTGAAAATGTTAGACCCATTAAGTGTTCCATGAGTGATAGAGATGATGTCGTATCATTATTTTTATTTTGATTGCTAGAGTGGTTGTTTAGGAGAAAAGCTAATTTTGTCAGTCAAGATTTCTGTGTGAAAGACTTTTATCTTGTATCAGAAATGAGTAGCTAATTCAGGTGTTACTTGTCACTTTGTGAAATTTCTCATTTCCCAAAGAACACTGTAGCTTCTTGAAAATTGATAAATAAGGCATAAAAAACAGTGGAAAGAGTATATTATAGCAAACCAGCTAAGGTGAAGTTTGGCCTTAGAGCCTCTTAAAAAAGTTACCAAGTCTAGGACACTAAATTGTAGCTAAGACAGATTAGCAAAATTTTTGTGGAGGGATGGTGGAGTACAAAGAGTATGGGCTTTGGAGTTGGACAACAAGAGGTTGAATTCTTGGTTCTGACATTTCCTGCTGGAGGCTTTTCCTAGCTGTGTGCTGGAGCAAGTTACTTAATATCCTTGAGCCTCAACTTCATCATCTCTAGAGGGAGAATAATATGCCCATCTTGCCAAGTTGTAAGAATTGAGTCAGAAATTTAAAATCCAGTGCTTGGTATGTTGATAACCACAGATTGGCACTGAAGTGATTAATCATTATTGACCCTAATTTAAAACAACTTCAAAAATAAGATGATTATTTTCAAAGAAGAGAAAGAAAAACAAAAAACATCAAACAGAAACAATTCAAACTGATGGAGATGGTGGGGGGGCTAGAATTCTTGATTCAGACGAGAATGCAAGTGATAACATATAAAGGTGATTGCTACTTACAATAGTAAAGTCTGTTTAAAGTTGGAAAGGCACAGATCACCCCAGATCTTTTTACTTTATGTCAGAATAGGGCTAGCCTTATATGGATATGTATAGTGTGATTTGATAAAGTGTCCTTTTCCCCAGAGAGAAAAATTTATTCTTTCTGACTTACTATTTTCCTAAACTTTGTCAGTCTGAAAATTAATTGTACATAGTCAAGAGAATAAAAAGTGAACTATATTTTTAACATTTTATTCTTCAGTAACCTTGTCTAGTACTAAAATAATACAGTATTGATAGAGGAAAGGGGGAACCAAAATGAGGTTTAGGAAAAGAGAGTTGACCAATTTTTTTCTCTTTTATACACATTACACAGCCACCATTGAGTCATACAGAGACCATTACTAGACCAAAATAGGTAGGTAGAAGGGGAGTAGCCACAGAGTGTAAACAACCAAAGGTACCCTCCTAACTTTAAGGAAAGAGAAGGTAGAAGCTGAAGTAATCAGCTTTGAGTCCAAAATATCCAATTGGAGAGACATTTAAAAATTGGCAACTAGCTTTAGCTATGAGACAACCAGAGTTTTATCATTTTTCTAGCTATAAGCTTGATTTTTCTTAATAAGGATTGTGAACATATAAAACAGACCAGCAGGAAAAACAAAATTGAAGAAATTAAAGGCAAGTAAGGACTTCTCATCATGGTCTATAATCTACTCAGCCGTGTTAGAGCCAGAGTCCTACCCATACATATAGGGAACTTCTTTGTAGCTAACCCATGTCACAAAGGACCATTTTACATAGTGAATGTGCCGTTACTGAAAATTACTGTTAAGCAACAGAAGTGCTTAATTTTCATTGTTGAAGAATGAGGAATTCTCTAGAAATAACTATTTTATTAGTAGTACAATATTTGGTATAAATTTAAATGATTCTATTGTATCAAAGGTTTGAATACAGAATCAGATTCTAAAAGAGCAAAGTTTCAAATGCGTAACTGAATCGAAGATCATTAGGTAGGAATAGGTAGGAATAAGATAGATACGAACAGAGAAAACAGGGAGGTCCGTTGTGTAGGTCATGAATTATAGCCTTTGGAACTGAAACAGAGTAGCTATATCAAAGAAACTACACTGCATTGCAAATTCTGAGCTTCCTCTAGGGGCCAGATCTGTATATTACCTTAAACAGTTACAGGATATTTTTTTGGTGAAGTTACTAGTGTATTAGCTCAACCATGTTAAATCTCCTAGTTGAAGAAGAATAACTATTCAACTGTTTATGTAGATAAAGTCAAAGCTGCTAAATACTGTGATTTTTTAAAAAATATCTAATAAATTAGAACACCTGATCTGGTTTTCACATTAGTGACTCTCCAGAAAAGATCAACAGATATCACTACATGGCCCTGTGTTGAAGAGCAAAAGATGATAAAAGTCAGTGTGGCTGGCTTTGTAGTTTCCAAGTTGAATAGAACTAGGAAACTAGACTGGATCTCTTGGCAATCTCAGGCAGGCAGTTGAGGGTACTGTAGAATTGTTGGGTGGTTTTCACCAAGTATCCACTTCTAAAAATTATTTTCTGAAGTATTTTAATGTACTGATGATATAAGTTTATTTTGGTAATGATTACTTGATTTTTCTGGTTCCAGGAAATTATGTACCTCTGGTTTTAGTAGAACATAGACAGGTTCCATTTTTCTTGCATGAACTAAAGATATGAGCTTTCATAAAATGAAGGCTTTGGATTTTGAGAAATTTTAAAGGATAATTTTCAGAATAATTCAAAAGAAATAATCCTATCAGTTACTTTAAAAATGTTACAGATAAACATAAATAAAGATGACCATATACCAAATGAAATGGAGTGATTCTGAGTCTTACCTGTTTAAACCTGTATTCTGAGACAATTCAGTCTGTTTAAAAGGGTGGCAAGTTTTTCCAAAAATTATTAGATCAGATTGACATAGTTTTACACACAGATAGATAAGCTGTTTGTATGTGGTATTAACTTTGAATATCAAGAATAGCTGTATATTTGTATGCATATGTGTGTGTATATATTTATCTATCTTGTCATATCTGTAGAACATTTAACTGTATGCTGCCATATTATGTAACATTTTTGATGTTCTTTGGAATTATATGTATTAAAAATATTAATATTTATTAAAACTGCATTTATTTTAATGCAGTTCCTACATTGTACTCTTCATTTTTGGAGAATGTAAGGTGATTTATAATCACACATTGATAAAACAAAGAATTAAACATATTTCTAATTTCTGAGCTAGTATTTATACAAACTGGAACTGTATCTAACACCACGTACATTCCAAAAATCTACACAACAGGGTAACTTGTTTATAAGACAGGATTAAATTACCATCAATTCTCAGTTCTGTTCAATTTATACATATAGTAGATGCACAATACATGCCTCAGTTGACTTGAAATGGGAAGTTCACTATAAATTTCTCAAGTGCCTCTTGGATCAAAGACTTACCTTACAAATAGCTTTGGTTTAGATAATAGATCACCATTATCTAATTCTTTTACAGTTGGCAGTTCACTTGTGGCAATGGTACCTTAATTAGAATATGAGCATATCTCACTCCCTAACCATGCTGGATAGCAGAAAGCTTATTATACTTGGATGTTTGGATGTTACATTCTCCAAAAAGACATCATAATTAATTATAATTACAGGGACAGAGCAGTGAGTATGTTTGTAATTTTCCAAGTCCAGATAATTTTGTAAGTTGTTTATCATGTTGCCTTATTCAAGCTACCCACAAATGTATATTTCTCCTTATT